TGAATCTGAGGTGTTAAGTTTAAAAAGCAAGTTGTAAAGCAGAAGACTGGCCCCATTTTAAGGCGTAAACACATATGTAGGTACACACAAACACACATACAGAAAAGGGACTTTAAAAAAACCTGGAAAGTTACATTTAAAGTGGAGGTGGAAAGGATGTTGAAAAAGTCCTCTTTTTATTCCTTATACTTTATCCCAGTTGGAATTTTTAATAAAATAATTAGTAGGCCAAGCTCGGTGGCTCAGCCTGTAATCCCAGTCTGGAAAACTGAGGTGAGTGGATTGCCAGAACCTGCTTCGAGACCCACCTGGGCAACCTGGCGAGACCTCGTCTCTACAATAAATCAAAGAAATTAGCCGGGCGTGGTAGCACTCACCTGTAGTTCCGGCTACTTGGAAGACTGAGGTGGAAGGATCGCTGGAGCCCAGCAGGTCGAGGCTGCAGTGGCCGGGAGCATGCTACTGCACTCCAGTCTGGGCAACAGTGAGACTCCAACTCAAAAATAAAAAAAATAATTAGCATGGATTTCTTTGAAAAAAAATAACAGTACATAATAAGAGCTGCCACTTATCAAGCATTCACAGTAGTAGGTATAGTATAAAGCACTTTAACTTTTTCTCTAACAATCCCACAGTGTTAGTATACTTTGTCTCCATTTGACAGATGACAGAAAAGAGGATTGGGAGACCCAAATATATTATTGGCCCAGACTTACCCTTTGCATTAGGAGACTGAACTTGATGCACCTAGACCTTCTGACTCTAAAGCCTTTTCTTTCCTAATTCACTTTCTGTGATCAGTGAAAAGAGCCTTGTTACGAAAGCAGTTCTTAACTATTGGGCTGCTGACTCCAGAGAAAGTTGATGGATTTTAGAATATCCAGATTCTTTGCGGCAATAGGTAGGAGCACAGCTGTTGAGAGCTGCCATGAAGGTTTTCCTGGTGATCTGGTCTACAGTGCTTGGTTATGTTCCATACTGTTACCAGGACAAGAATAATTTATGGAAGCTTTTCTGTTTAGTTGAGGATCTGTTCTGTAAACCAGTAGGAATATAAGAAATTCAACTTTTTTTTTCTTTTTTGAGTCAGAGCCTAACTTTGTCTCTTAGGCTGGAGTGCAGTGGCACACTCACGGCCACCACAGCCTTGACTTACTGGGCTCAGGCGATCCTTCCACCTCAGCCTTCCAAATAGCTGGAACTACAGGTGTGTGCCACCACACCCAGCTAATTTTCTGATTTATTGTAGAGACAAGGTCTCACCAAGTTGCCCAGGCTGGTCTCGAACCCTTGGGCTCAGGTAATTCTCTTGCCTCTGCCTCCCAAAGTGCTGGGATTACAGGCATGAGCCACCACACCCTGCTAGAAATGTAACTTTTAACCTGCAGTATAACTTAAAGCAACATGAACTGAAGTGTATAGTTGTGGGCTTTTATTAAATCTAACTTGATCTTGATAAGACAAGAGTGATATTAAGTGTAATGATTCATTTCCATTCAACAAGTTATACACCTTAGTATGGAAGTTTGGTGCATTTGGTATTGGGATGTCAGTTTCTTTCCTTTGTTTATTTTATTTTAAAGATGTAGGGTACAATTCAGGATTAGGAATATAAGTGGTCATTATACAGGTGAAATTTGGGTCTCCATTGATCCTCACTTTGCTTGGTTTTGGATCAGGTACCCTTACTGATGTTATGTACCACCCTCCACCCCAAGCAGCGTCCCGCTACTGTCAATCCCTTTCTTGCAGTATTATGATATTCAGGAGGGATATCAGTTTCAGAAACATTTACAGTGAGTATTCCATGGGAGCATATTACCTGGTAACCTTAGCATGCTTTGATCTCAGAATGGGGAGAAACTGACTGGAAGCTGCTCTGGCTTAGTAGTAGGTATTCCACCTCCCTGCACCCAGGAGATTCTCGCCACACACCCTTCTGTCTTTAGCTGGGACCCCCCCATCTTCCTCTGGAGAGAGGACCATCTTTGCTGTTTTATTTATTTCATTAATTGAGTAGCTGTTAGAAAGCAGCGGGCAGAACAGCAATACGTTTTTAAAGAAAAAAGCTGCTGCTTGCTAATCAGGATCCTAGGCTGGGGAGAATGAGATAGAAGTGTGTACGCATCCTCACATTTCCAGAATGGTGGTCCTGCATGGATTCTACACCCATAGGACAAGCTTCAGACCACTTACTGCTTGTCCTCCTCTCTCCTCTGCCCCATGCTCCTGGTGCTCTCCCACGCTCAGTAAATCAGGGCAGAACCCAGAGCACATTTTCTATTTACAGTCATACACAGTATGACTTGGAAATTCTTCAGAAATGTTGTCCCCAAATACCACAAAAAGAGAATTTGCTCCATGACATGAAAATAAAACGAATTCCATTTTCTTTTGTTCATTGGTTCATACATTCAGCAAATATTTTCTGAACCCTGCTGTGTGTCAGGCCCAGTGCCCAGCACAGGAAACTCAAGATAGAATAAGGCATGACCCCAGCCTTTAGAAATCTCAGTATTGAGTGAGAGGTTGTGGAAGAGGGGAGGCAGGAACCAGATCATCACAGTATATTTTTGTAAGTACTGTAATTGGAGCTAGGGCAGCAGCTGGCATGAAGTAGTTCCCATTATGTGCTCGATGAATGAATTAACAGCACCAAGGGAGGGTGTCTTCAGAGATGACCTCCCGTAGGAGGCCATATGTGAGTTGGGTCTCACAGGGGCCTGCCAAAAGAAACATGATAGTCTCTGCTTTTTAATATAGGAATGCTAAAAATGAGGACAAAATTTCAAATCTGTTGGGCTTCCAAAGTTCCATTAGAATAAACCCTTTACAACAAAATCTGCCTATTTGTATCCTATGAGTTGTTATTCAAAATATTGGAAAGAACCATATAGGAAATAAACTGGAAATTTATTTCTCAAGGTGTCAACAAATATCAAATGTGATCTGGCCAGGTGTGGTGGTTCACGCCTGTAATCCCAGCACTTTGGGAAGCCAAGGTAGGAGAATCACTTGAGCCCAGGAGTTTGAGACCAGCTTGAGCAATGTAGTGAGAGCACATCTCTACAAAAAATAGAAAAATTAGCCTGGCATGGTAGTATGTGCCTGTAGTTCCAGCTACTTGGGAGGTTGAGGTTAAAGGATTGCTTGAACCCAGGACGTCGTGGTTATGGTGAGCTAGGACCATACCTCTGCACTCCACTTGAGGGACAGAGTGAGACCTTGTCTCAAAAGAAAACAAAAACAAAAAAATCCAACTAATGTTATCTACTTGCTCCTTGTTCTTCCCCCCTTTGTATTCGCTCTCCAATTTTCTCTATGTTAGCATCAGCCTTGTTGTTTCTCTTTTTGAACACTGACCTCTGTAGAAAAAAATCTCCGTTACTGGGGAAAAGACTAAACAGAGCAGATGTCTGTGTCTCCTCCTTTGGCCCTTCAAGTTAGTTTCTGTTGATGAATTTGGAAGAATAGAGTTGCCTTTTGCTTCAGTTTCTATTCAGGTGTTTTCGAGACTGCAATTATTCGTACAGAGTTACATTCAGTCTTTCAGTCTCAGTAAGCTGCAAAATGATTGTTTATAAAATGTCAGTGAAAAACAATGTGATTTTCACATTCAAGATGAATGTTGTGAATGATTTGGGTGCAGCGACATTTCTGTTAAGTACATGCTTGCTTACTAAAATGTGTAATGGTGTAAAGTTTGCATTTTAGTTGAGGGTGGGCGGGTCCTGACATTTAGTCAGCCTCTAGTTTCCTTAATGAATTCGCTCAGTCTCTAGCATCTGAAACTCATAGTTCATGTCCTTTGTCACATAAATATTTGGCCAAGTATCGATATCAGAAAAGCCTGTTGCATACCCTGTAAACTTCTAGTCTTCCCCAGCTGAGTCAGGCTGTGCCACCCAGTGTGGAAGTGGGTTGGTGGTTGGAGGTGGAAACAGTTTTAAGGTTTTAAAAAGGATAGCTGCCTTTGAAGACTGGCAGTAGTTGCAGGCTCCTGCCCTCTTGTCATTGCATCCAGGAATGTTTTTATGTGAATATGAGGTTGGCTGTGTGATGACTGTAAGAGATGGAATTTTTAAAAATTTTAACAGAGCCAAGTAAATGCTGCCCTCAGTAAAGAAGTCACGTTGGGAGCTCATGTCATTATTTCAGTGGGAGTTACTGCTCAAGCTCTTGCTTCAGTCCATGTTCCTCACTCGGTTCCTTATCCCCCTTAATCAGAGTAGATTCCAACCCCCTTCTCCAAAGATTTGTCACTGTGAACATTTTGTTTTAAAACAGAAAGAAAGAGCCGGGCTTGGTGGCTCAGCCTGTAATCCCGCGCCTTTGGGAGGCTGAGGTGAGTGGATTGCCTGAGCCCGCGGGTTCGAGACCTGCCTAGGCAGCAAGACCTCATCTCTACAATAAATCAAGAATTCAGTCGGGCGTGGTAGCGCATGCCTGTAATTCCGGCTACTCGGAAGGCTGAGGCGGAAGGATCGCCGGAGCCCAGCAGGTCGAGACTGCAGTGGCTGGGAGCGGCCACTGCACTCCAGTCTGGGCGACAGAGTGAGACTCCAACTCAAAAAAAAAAAAACAACAAAAAAACAGAAAGAAAGATCTGAAGGTAACAGACCAGCTACAACACTGAATAACAGCAGAAGTATTGAAAGAAAAATATTCCTACCTCAGGTGATATATTTGAGAATATATTTGAGGTGATGTAATGTTCATTTGAATGATATACATCTTGGTATATTGGAGGTGGCATGAGGCACTTGCCTGTAGTCAGCCACCATAATAAGACAGCAGAGATGTTAGAGCATCCCAAAAGGAGCATGTTCAGGAAGAACAGAAAGAAAAACTGAAACTGCTCTTGTTTATTCAGAATCGTCTCCAGTCCTGGGCCTTTGACCCCAAGTGCTCCACTCTCCCTATCTGTACTTACTGCAGAATGTGATCTGTGGGAGTCATAAGGCTCTTCTGGACTTTGCTAATACTTTCCTTTTGTTTCTCTAGGTATTTCTGGGAAAAGCCAGCTTCTGTATGCACTGGTCTTCACAACTCGTTACCTGGATCTTTTTACTTCATTTGTTTCGTTATATAATACATTTATGAAGGTACAGTATGGCATCCAATAGAATATGTTTTATCCACAATGCACAGACCTATGGAAATTTTTCAGCTATGTATTTTTAATGAAAAGTCTTCAAGGTTGGGTATGGTAGCTCACGCCTTTAATCTCAGCACTTTGAGAGGCTGAGGCAAGAGAATCGCTTGAGCCCAGGAGTTCAAGACCAGTCTGAGTAACATGGTGAGACCTTGTCTCTACAAAAAATATAAAAATTTAGCCAGGTGTAGCAGTGTACATCTGTAGTCCCAGCTACTCAGGAGGCTGAGGCAGAAGGATCACTTAAGCCCAGGAGGTTAAGGCTGCAATGAGCGGTGATCAGTGCTACTGCACTCCAGCCTAGGCAATAGAATGAGACTCTAACTCAAAAAAATAATAATAATAACCCTGCAAGGATAATATCTAACTATACTATTCTTAAAAACATATAACTGGGAATAAAAAGTTGCTATTAAGCATATTTTTCTAGATTCTAAACAATACTTAATTAAAGTACTTTGAAGTTAGAGATTTCTTAATTTTAGTAACTCACGTATGATAAATCTTCCAAAGCTTTTGATAACCCTATAAGGAAGAGGAGTAACTATTATATTTTCAAGCTGTGGGAAATTATAGACGCCCCAGAGAAATACAACAAGTTGGTACATAACAAGGAATTAAGCCAGAACTCCTAGTTGCAGTGTTTCAGTTTGCTGCTATGTAAGGAACCGTGTGTAGGCCTCTACTTTTTTCTTTTCCACTTAGTCAATTTTTCTTAAACTTCTGCTGTGAGCCTTTATTACATTTGCCATGTTTAAATAACATCTGTATCATAAATTACATAATAATATAGTTTTTAAACCTTTTAACTTGTCCTAAACATTAGTGTTCATGAAGAAACCTTTGGTGTCATTCTTATACTTTCCCCGATTCACATTAAACAAATGTATCACTATTAAAATACAAAATGTTTGCATCCCACCTAACATCTTGTATGCCACTCCTAGTAGATACTCCCACTTGGGGAGATACTGGACTAAGTGAGCTTCCGTTCTTCCCCACAGTCATTGAATTCATGCTTACAAACACCTACAGAGTTGGGCACTGAGGATATGGCAGAAAACAAGCAGGAGTCTTATAGCCTGTTGGAGAGCAGACAAATCATCAACACTAAATAAATGACCATTTTGGAATGGTTGGTTGCTATGAAGAATATAGGGGCTCTCAGACTAGGAGTCTGACTTTTCTTACAGTCATTCTACAAATACCGAGCATCTGTGTGCCAGGCACTGTTTTAGGCCATTTGGTTATTGGCATACCCAAAGAAGTAATGTTTAAACTGAAGCCTGTTAGTATGGCATTTGCACAACCCTCACGTCCCCCAACACTTTGTATTCAAAAGCATTTTTAAAATTTTTTTTGAGTTGGAGTCTCACTCTGTCACCCAGACTGGAGTGCAGTGGCCGCTTCTGGCCACCGCAGCCTCGACCTGCTGGGCTCCGGTGATCCTTCCGCCTCAGCCTTCCGAGTAGCTGGAACTACAGGCACACGCTACCACGCCCAGCTAATTTTTTTGATTTATTGTAGAGATGACGTCTCGCCAAGTGGCCCAGGCGGCTCAGGCAATCCACTCACCCAGCCTCCCGAGGCACAGGATTACAGGCTGAGCCACCGAGCCCGGCTTCAAAAGCATTTTTTTTTAGTTGGAGTCTCACTCTGTCACCCAGACTGAAGTGCAGTAGCTGCTCCCAGCCACTGCAGCCTCGGCCTGCTGGGCTCCAGCGATCCTGCTGCCTCAGCCTTCCGAGTAGCCGGAATTACAGGCATGCGCTACGACGCTTGGCTGATTTTTTGATTTATTGTAGAGATGAGGTCTCACCAAGTTGCCCAGGTGGGTCTCGAACCTGCGGGCTCAGGCATTCCACTCATCTCAGTCTCCCAAGGTGCAGGATTACAGGCTGAGCCACTGAACCCGGCTTCAAAAGCATTTTTATAAGCACAGATCAAAGTAGACAAAACGATATTTGAGTCTATGGTCTTCACTAAAAAGTAAATTTGAGTCAACTATAATCATTCCATTCTTTATTACTAGGTGATGGGAGCCTAATAATCAGGAAATAATTAGCTTACATAAAAATGATAAACAAACACCACACCCCCACCCCCCGTTGATGTACTCTACCTCAGGGGGAAAAAAATGGTTGGGTCCTTGGTGTTGTCTAGGCAAGCATTGCAGGCATCAGAGTTGTGTGGAGGAAGAGCCCTCCTCTTCCCTCCAGGATTCCCAGTGTTCAGAGTAATCCATGCTTGCTTGGTTGATGTCCTGAAGGTGCGTGAGAGCTGAGGTGTTTGTGTTTTTATGTTAACTGCCACTACATGCTGGTAAGAGAAGAAAAGCAGCTCTGCTTCCCCAGCTGCTGCTAGGCCTTGATGGACGTAATCTCAGCTGGCCACTGGCTGGTTACTGGTGAGGGACCCCGCTGCTATGAGCCTTGGCTGGGTATGCCCCTGAGGGGGAATCAGTGCATATGTAGGATGTATGTGTTGTGTGTGTGTAGATTATGTATTATTTATTTATTCATATGCATGTGTACATATATTTGTGTGTGGAGAGGACTCCTCTAATAGTATGTTAATGTTTCTTAATTTTTGGGGGGTGGGGTCATTCTTTGGTGTATGGGTGTGACCAACAATTTTAATACCATGTTGACTATTTGCAAATATAACTGCATGATGAGATATCAGTGTCCTTTTGTTTTGAGTCAGGGTCTTACTCTGTCGCCCAGGCTAGAGTGTAGTGGCACAGTCATGGCTCACCACAGCCTCAAACTCCTGGGCTCAAATGATCTCCTGCCTCAGCCTCCCAAGTCGCTGGGACTACAGGCACACACTACTACACCCAACTAATTTCTTAATTTTTTTTCTTTTTGTAGAGACGAGGTCTCACTATGTTGTCTAGGCTGGTCTCAAACTTCTGGACTCAGGCAGTTCTCCCACCTCAGCCTCCCAAAGTGCTGGGATTACAGGCATGAGCCATTCTGCCTGGCCGTGTGTGTGTGTGTGTGTGTGTGTGTGTGTGTGTGTGTGTGTTTTAAGTGTATAAGGCTTCATGATTGCTCTCATTTTCCTATTAGGTCATTTGCCCAGATGGTTGCCTAATTGACATTCTCAAGTTATCTTTCCTAAAGAGCAGTTAGTAGTAGATTTGACTACAAAAGCGCAGCATGGCAGAATTTTGGGAGTAATGAAACTGTTATGTCTGTATTTCAGTTGTGGTGGTGGTTATATGACTCAGAACTCTACACCCTCAAAAAGTGAATTTTACTATATTTAAATTTTAAAATAAAAAAAAGAAAAGCCAAGGGGAAAAAACCTAGCCTTTCTAAATTCGTGGGTGATGTAGAAAGCTGAGGGAACTAGAACAGTTGCAAGGTATTAACAACCTGGTACCTTTTTTCTTTTGTTTTTAGCTTATCTACGTTGCCTGCTCCTATGCCACAGTGTACCTGATCTACATGAAATTTAAGGCAACCTACGATGGAAATCATGATACCTTCCGAGTGGAGTTTCTGGTGGTCCCTGTGGGAGGCCTTTCATTTCTAGTCAATCATGATTTCTCTCCTCTTGAGGTTAGTTAAGTTATCTAGCGGTCATAACTGGGTCTCTAGTCAATAACCTGTTTGTAAATAATGTGGGTTTTTGTGGGATTTTTGGTTTTTGTTTTCTAGTTTGCAAAGTTCTGGTGCAACATTCACTATTTGGTGTAAACAAATTGCGGGTGACAGTTAAGCACCCAAGTATTTAGATGACTGCTGACAGCTTATTGCCCGAGTCCTTTAATATATAAACTTGAAACTGTATGTCAGCCGGGCTCGGTGGCTCAGCCTGTAATCCCGAGCCTTTGGGAGGCTGAGGTGAGTGGATTGCCTGAGCCCACGGTTCAAGACCCGCCTGGGCAGGCGAGACCTCATCTCTACAATAAATCAAAAAATTAGCCAGGCGTGGTAGCACACGCCTGTAGTTCCAGCTACTTGGAAGGCTGAGGCGGAAGGATCGCCGGAGCCCAGCAGGTCAAGGCTGAGGTGGCCGGGAGCGGCCACTGCACTCCAGTCTGGGCGACAGAGTGAGACTCCAACTCAAAAAGAAAGAAACTGTATGTCATTATCTTGACTTCTGTGGTACCAGATACCGAACCCTGCCTATCCCAGTGTTTGAAGAATATGGTCTCCCTATTCTGGCCCACATTTTGTTTCCTTTTCATGCACAGACGTTGCACATGGACATTGTGTCTATGACTCTCCTAAGCAGCACTGCTATACTGTGGACCTTTAGGAAAGGTGGTTTATGGTACTGCTGGCACTGTACAGCTTGCTTGCCGATCTGCCCCTAAGGGCCTTTTCCTTCACCAGTGCAGAGCTGCTGCTTAGCCTCCTGGGGCTTATCAAATTACTGTGCTGCTTTTGGTGTCTGCCAGGTGCTTGGGGTGCCAGGCCTGTTAAAACACTCAAGGACTGTTTGCAAGTCCTTCTATTGTCAGCATTAATCAAGTAACATGTTGGGCAGAGAGTTTCCATAATTACCACTCTGATTTTTTAGACCTTTGATTAGCCACACCAGGCAGCCTAAAGAATGGGGAAAATAGTAAAAATATTTAGTTGGCCTGGCAAGGAGATCAGTTGGTGAGGAAAAACAACAACGAGGAAGTAGGAGGGACCCAGTATTGTCAACCGTGGTGGAGAGCAAGTTGATTCAGGACCCCAGATCCGGAGTGGGGCAAGCTGATCCAGACAGAGCATCTTTATGCTGACTCATGGAAAATTGTACAGGGAAGAACAAGACATTGGAGAGACAAGGTAATGAAAATTCACAGGGGTAAAGGTGTCCCGTTTACTCAGCTTGTCATTGGTAGTGCCCTGCCTCTTAAACGTTGCTTAAATTTCTATAACTTACGCAGTTGCCAAGCTGCTGTGTTTCGGGCTGAGATGCCCACACCCCCAGACTCCCTACTCCTTTTAAACTGCTTTACAGTAAAGCAAGAAAGAATGTTTCCTGTGAGCTCATGGGGGTTGCTGGATCCTTCTGAAGCCTGTTATTTCTCTTCCAGATTTTATGGACCTTCTCCATCTACCTTGAATCAGTGGCTATCCTTCCACAGCTCTTTATGATCAGTAAGACTGGGGAGGCCGAGACCATCACCACCCACTACCTGTTCTTCCTGGGCATCTATCGTGCTTTGTATCTTATCAACTGGATCTGGCGCTTCTACTTTGAGGGGTTCTTTGACCTCATTGCTGTGGTGGCCGGCGTAGTCCAGACCATTCTATACTGTGACTTCTTCTACTTGTACATTACAAAAGGTATGCTGAGTGTTACCTGTTTTGTTCCCAAAGTCACATGTTCTTTTAAGGGCTTGCTTGCCCAGCTCCCTTTACCAACACTCTCCTAATCTGGCCCTATGTCATAAAGCAGAACTGGCTTCAGAAAAACATTTTAATTATTGTCAAATTAAATTCTAGGTCAGGGGTTTTTCAGTCTTTTTTTTTTTTTTTTTTTTTTTTTGAGTTGGGATCTCACTCTGTCACCCAGGCTGGAGTGCAATGGCATGATCACGATAATCACGGCTCATGGCAGCCTTGACCTCCTGGTCTCAGGCGATCCTTCCACCTCAGCATCACCAGTAACTGGGACGACAGACACACGCCACCACATCCAGCAAATTTTTTGGGTTTTTTTGTAGAGATAAGAGGTCTTACTATGTTTCCCAGGCTGGTCTTGAACTCCTGGGCTCAAGCAGTTCACCCACCTTGGTCTCTCAAAGTGCTGGAATTATAGGCGTGAGCCATGGCACCTGGCCTTCAGTCTTTTTAAATATAGGAACCTCTTTTCTTTTGCTATAGCTTTTCCTAAAATGGCACATTTTCATTGTAAACAAAACAATACAGTCATAACTAAGAATTTCAAAATCACCTGATATCCTACCACTCAGAGATAATCTCTGTTAATGTTTTAGTAAACATAATATCAGATATCTCTCTATGCATATACACAGATAAATGACTTAAACCATACATTCTATTCCATTCTGTGCTTTTAATTCCACTCACATTTTATGTCAGTAGACAGAAAGTTACATAATTTTCAGCAGCCTAATAAGAGTATTTCATTTTGTTTATATATTATAATTCATTTATCCAGCCTCCTATTCATGAGTAGTCAGTCTGTTATTGATTTGCTACTAAATCCAGTGATTAAATCAGCATCCTTGTATGTGTATGTTTTTGCATTTGTATGAACATAGGACATGTGGCTTTACAAAAATCTGATGAAAGCTATGATCCTTATTCAAAATATATATGTATACACACACAAAAAAATTTATACATATAGTTTTAGAGGAACTAAAACAGATCTCAGCCTAAAAATCCCAGCTAGACAATAAAATTCCTAATGTTGGAATTGCTAGATAAAAGAGCATATATATCTTCGCTTTTTTAATACCCCAAATTTCATAGACTTCCCTATATATACTATATTTTAAAATATATTGATTAGGGTAAAAGTCATGATAAAAAGCCACTGTGAGTTTAGAGGCGCTTTCAATCAAATTTGTAATTTTACAGTTGTTTATTTCCTGTACTTTACAATGTAGAATCTTGTGTGGGACAGACTTCTAGGAATAGGAAGAAGGAAATGTAAGCTTGTCAATATCAGTAACATTTGTTTTCTTTTCCTCTCTTTAAAATTCTAGTACTCAAGGGAAAGAAGCTCAGTTTGCCAGCCTAAGTGCCAAAGACCATCACCAGCATCTGTCCTTCAGGGTGCTCGGACAGAATTCTTACCACAGCAAAGGCATAAGATGCTTGATATGGAAAATCAGAAACTTTACTCTTTTGTTGCAGATAGTCATCAGTGGCTCTGTAAGAACACAGAGGAAAAGAACCAGAAGGTTTCTGTTTAATGCATCTTGCCTTATCTTTTTTTATTACTATGTACAAAGATTTTTTTACACAAAGAAACTTAATGCTGTATTAATAAATTCAGTGTGTAGCTTCAATTGGAATAGTTCCAAAAGTGAAGATTTTGTGAGGAATATGTGCAAACTTTTTTTTTATTTTAAAAATTCTTTGACATTGTTGAGTCTTTGTATCTGCAATGAAATTGTACTCCTTGACAGTTGGTACATTATATATTCTTCCATCTTTCAAACTTGCATTCCACTATATTTATTTTTTGCCAAAAGACGAGTTATATTCGTTTGAAATCTGAGACACTATGTTCAATTGAGTGTATCTGTTCAAATTTATTCCTACCTGACATGGAAATCCTTTCTTGGACATTATAACACTACATTTAAGGTTGGTAACAATGACTTGCAAGTATTATAGTTTTCATTAACAAACTGTTAAGATTCTGAATGTTGATGGAGTCTCATTTACGAGTCACCAAAGGTGCCTGCTCCCCTGCCCTGCTGAGATGTGTCAGTGTGAGACTGTCCCGAGGGTGTGGAAGAATTCTATGGGCAGGGTTCTGGCTGCTTGTCCTCTGAGTGTGGGATGGGAGGGACATTGATGATTATTTTGGATATAGGATTCTGCTCTTCTGAGGAATGGAACACAAGTAGTTACCTATCATGTTCATTTACAGTTCCAAAAGATTACTACAACCATGTCCATGCTCAGATTCAAATGGTTTTTCATGTCACTTTTGGGTGGTAAAATGATTTAGAATTTTTTAGAATTTGGCAGTACCAATTACCATTCCTTATATTCTTCTTCTTTTTTTTACTGAGCTCTTGCATGATTTATCTTGTGTTACTATCCTAACACATAGGCTAAATTGTCTTTTTTTATGAATTAGGCTTTTAGAACATCCTATTTGGAATTTTTTTGTTTTAAATTGGCAACAAACGCTCTGTAGGGCTGCAAACATTTAAAGCCCACTGTAAAACTTTCTACATTTTATGGAAATACTAGAATTTTTTTCTCCTGGTTTTGCCATTATATTGATTTGCTACATTTTTTTTATTAATGCAATTGTATATGACTGTTTTTATGTGATGCACCATAAATATTAAAGTGTTGAATACTAACAGTGCTTACTACAAGAAATATGTGTAGTATTTTTGGTTTCTGCATTAGAACGTCTTATGAAGGAAGGGAGTAGGATGGGTTTTATGTTCATCTAGCGTGTCTTGACACCTTTCTAAATCGGCAGTGTCACGGCATAGTTTAACCTCCCATATTTGTCGCCCTCGTTTCACTTTCCCCTCCTTCTCGTGTTCTTGCTTTTGTCTGTCAGAGCATCTTTCTTTCCAGCATCCTAGTCTTGGTTTAGTTTTGATGGTTTGTTTTAATCCTCCTTGGAAGGTTCTGCGAATGTGCAGGATGGGTGGGAAATCCAGCCACAGTAAGTCAAGCAGCCTGCTTGCTGCCCAGACTGGGGGTGGGGTGGGGGCTCACACTTGTCTTGTGCGTGTAAATCAGACACAAGCTGGGCCATTCATGGGAGAGCACAATGCACAGAACAAGGATCGGCACCTCAGCATACCAATGCCTTCTGTAGTCGTTCTGCCCAAGTAAAAATAAAATTGTCTAAGTTGTTGCCACCATTTTGTGGTCACCCAGGATGACATTTTAGCAAGGGTGCCTGAGTTGGAGTGTGGGACTGGGCCTCGATCACTCACATGGAAAACAAAGGCCTGTGTGCCAAGCCTTAGGAAGTACTGTGTCATAGTCATTCGCTTCCTGAATAAAGGTTATCGGGTAATTAATGCTTTTTACTGAGGTGTTTCTTTCATTTGTGTGAATTTTGTTCTATGTAAGCATGAAGAGAAATAAAGTTCACAAATTTGCCCAGTAACTGATAGCTCTAAGAAAAGCTGCTTGGCCATTGGCTCTTTACAGATGCCAGTCCATTCCTGTCTAGTCCTGTCACAGAGAAACTTTGAAGAAAGTTTCCTGCTTCCTCATACTCTGGTATGAGAGGAGTAGGTAGAGAAGTATTAATAGTTTTAATAGAGATCATGATGATTTGTGGGAACCCTAAGTAAGAAAAGCACACGCCTTGCGCTCAGACTTGTGGTAAGAGTCTTGGCTCCCACAGTTGCATTCCTGGATTTCACACGGGCCTCCTCCCACCCCCCACCCCAACTTATGTAGATGAACTCCTACTGCAGCATTTCCGTGAGGTTTCAATGAGCCACTGTTGGAAAAGTTCAGATTGCAGAGCTTGGTACACATTAAGTAATCACCCCAGCAACCTCCATTCTCCTCCTGTTCTCTGGGCGTGGCTTGGGACAGCTGCTTCAAAAGCTGACTGGGAACTGGTTCTGGCAGGAGTCCTTCTGGCCCATTTGATGGCATTGGTCAGTTTTGTCAGAAGGTTCAGAACCCTTGTTAGGAAAGGAATAGAAATCTACTCCTAGGCTCAGCCTATAATTCCATCACTCTCGGAGGCAAGGTGGGAGGATTGCTAGAGCTCAGGGATTCGACACCAGCCTTGGTAACATAGTGAGATCCCTGCCTCTACAAAAAATTAGCTGGGTGTGGCAGTGTGCACCTGTAGTCCCAGCTACTCAGGAGAGGAGGCTGAGGTGGGAGGACAACCCGAGCCCAGGAGGCCAAGGCTGTGGTGAACTGTGATCATGCCATTGCATTCCAGCCTGGGTCACAGAGGAAGACGCTGTCTCAAAAATAAAAATAAGGAAAAAAATGAACTCCTACATACCTTCCAAAACCACCTGTCATCGCCATGGTGACTGATGCTTGTTCGGGTTAGGGCTCCATGTGGGTTTTTTTCTGTGTGCCCCCGCCCTCTAGTGGTCTGGTGTGGAATTTCCAAGGAACCAGAGCTCTGCCTAGTCCTGACCAAGGCCCCTACCCCTATCTGGCTGGGTTAGCTTTGTAGCGTGAAATCTCGTGTAGGTGTTGTGTTTCTCCTCCAGTTTTGAAACTATGCCCTCTTTTATCCCTGCAATTTAAAAGCAAGTTCTAGCGTAACTTGGTACTATTCCTTTTAAACGTCAAAGATGCTTTTTTACAATTCTAAAATATACTCCAGATCTCTGTCCTTCAAGGGTGAGTTGTTAGGCACATACCACACTACACTTGACTGTGTTACTAAAACAGAATGAAAATACAGACCCTATTTACTCGTTTAATAAGGTTTCTGTGACAATAAATGGGCCTGTAATAAGGAAACTGGTATGCTCTGAAACTATAAAAGTGATTTGTTTACTTCAAGGTCTGAGAACTTTAAAGAATGCTTAAAATAATAACTATCCAAATTCCCATACGATCACCTGGCTAATACTGCCTTCTCCCCAATCCAACATAGACAATAGCAGCAGACATTAAATGCAAGGATATTAATATTACCCAGGTCATAAGGATTTACTCGAATCAGAATTAAGTCCTAAAGAGAGAAGTAGAGGAAGGCATGAATAATCAATTGGGAAAAAGAGTAAAGCTCACAGTTAATAGGAAGATGTGATGAAATGTCAAAAAAGCCTATGAAGGATACTTTATGTCATTTGTGAAGTGAAATCAACAAGCAAAGGAGGATATCAAGGACCTTGTTTTAAAAACTCATGATGGTGCAAGGATGTTAGCCCTTGCTAAATCTTCACAGTGGGTCCTTAGGTGTCGGGCATCTTCTCTGCATCTGAAATATTTCGGTCACTTAAAAAAGTCATGGCCGGGCTCCGTGGTTCAGCCTGTAATCCCAGCACTTTGGGAGGCTGAGGCAAGTGGATTGCCTGAGCCCAGTGGATTGCCTGAGCCCACGGGTTCGAGACCAGCCTGCCCAACTTGGTGAGACCTCATCTCTACAATAAAGCAAAAAATTAGCCAGGTGTGGTAGTGCGAACCTGTAGTTCCAGCTACTGAGGCAAGAGGATCGCTAGAGCGCAACAGGTCGATGCTGGAGTGGCCGAGAGTGTGCCACTGCACTGCACTCCAGCCTGGGTGACAGAGTGAGACTCCAACTAAAAAAATGTCACAAGGAGTCATTTCCTTTTCAAGAGTTATTCTTTGATCTGGATAGCTCATTTTGGAAAGAAGGGTTTTTTTGTTTTCTTAATAGAACTTTTTAACAGATTGACAACAATACCCCCTTAACCACAGAAGATACCTTCCAAGACCCCCAGTGGATGCCTAAAACCAGATAGTACTGGCCCCTATATATGCTGTTTTTCTCTATACATACCTATGATGAAGTTTAGTTTATACATTAGGTACAGTAACAACAATTAATAAAATAGAGCAATTATAAAAATATTACTACAATAGAAGTTATATTTGTTCTCTCAAAATATTGTACTGTACTCACCTATTTTTCAGACGGGTGTAACTGAAGCCATGAATAAAAGGGAGCTACTGTATTTTTTTTTTTTTTTGAGTTGGAGTCTCATTCTGTCACCCAGGCTGAAGTGCAGTGGCACTCACCGCCAGCCACCCCAGCATCCTTCCACCTCAGCCTTCCAAGTAGCCAGAACTACAGGCATGAGCTACCATGTCCGACTCATTTTTGATTTATTGTGGAGATGAGGTCTCACCAAGCTGCCCGGGCTGGTCTGAAACCCGCGGGCTCAGGTAATCCACTCGCCTCAGCCTCCCAAAGTGTTGGGATTGCAGGCTGAGCCACCAAGCCTGGCCGGCTACTGTATTTTTTAAAAATATATTTTTAATAACAAAATTGAAAAAATCTGTGTCCAAAATAGGGAATTGAATATGCTTTCTATGAGATACCCACATGATGGAGTAATGTATTGTTTTAAAATAGGGCTAGGCGCAGTGGCTCACACCTGTAATCCTATCATTTTGGGAGGCCGAAGCGAGAAGACTGCCTGAGCCCTGGGATTCAAGACCAGCCTGGGCAACTTGGTGAGACCTCATCTCTACAATAAATTTTTTAAAAATTAGTTGGGCATGCTAGCGTACACTTCTGGTTCCAGCTACTTGGCTACTTGGAAGACTGAGGTGGAAGGATCCCCTGAGCCCAGCAGGTCAAGGCTGCGGTGGCCATGAGTATGCCACTGTACTCCAGCCTGGGTGACAGAGTGAAACTCTGAATAAAATAAATAAATAAACAAAAATAGGTCTAATTCTACCAATGGAATTAATGTTACGTGGAAATGGCAGAATATACTAGCAGTGATTAGAACTATGGAAAATTTAGAAAATTTGTATGCTACAAATTTCCCAAGACATCTCTTTGAAACTCAGTAGTTTTGTAGATTGTTATTGTTGAAGAAACATTATCTTATTGCTAAGCTGAACAAATCCTGTTTTTATTTTTTCAATCAGCTTTCTCAGATTTTTGAGAAATCTGAGAAAATTGAAAAATATCTGTGTCCAAAATAGGGAATTGAATATGCTTTCTATGAGATACCCACATGATGGGGTAATGTATTGTTTTAAAATAGGGCTAGGAGCCGGGCTCGGTGGCTCAGCCTGTAATCCCAGCACTTTGGGAGGCTGAGGTGAGTGGATTGCCTGAGCCCGCGGGCTCGAGACCCGCCTGGGCAACTTGGCGAGACCTCATCTCTACAATAAATCAAAAATTAGCCGGGCGTGGTAGCGCGCACCTGTAGTTCTAGCTACTTGGAAGGCTGAGGCAGAAGGATCGCCAGAGCCCAGCAGGTCGAGGCTGCAGTGGCCGGGAGCGGCCACTGCATTCCAGTCTGGGCGACAGAGTGAGACTCCAACTCAAAAAAAAAACCAAAAAAACAAAATAGGACTAGGCGCAGCAGCTCACACCTGTAATCCTATCATTTTGGGAGGCCGAGGCCTTTTAAATCGTGTGTTTAAAAGACGAGTACATTTAAGAATATGTGTGATCACAGGCATAACCTATGAACTTCTGGCTTAACAGTGGTTTGGAGTTTCAGTTGTATATCTGCATGCCAAACATTCATATCATCATATGTTTGTGTGTGTGTAATTATAGAGGACGAGCAAAGCTGAACAAGCATCACTTAAAAATAAATTTTAGGCCGGGCTTGGTGGCTCAGCCTGTAATTCCAGTACTTTGGGAGGCCGAGGCAAGTGGATTGCCTGAGCCCGTGGATTTGACACCAGCCCGGGCAACTTGGCCAGACCTCGTCTCTACAGTAATTAGCCTGGCGTGGTAGCATGCCTGTAGTTCCAGCTACTTGGAAGGCTGAGGCAGAAGGATCACCGGAGCCCAGCAAGTTGACGCTGGGGTGGCTGTGAGTGTGCCACTGCATCCCAGCCTGGGTGACAGAGTCGGACTCCAACTCAAAATAATTATAATAATAATAAACTTTATTTTCAAACATTCATAGAAGTAGAGAGAATAGTGAGATAAACCCAATTGTTTTATCTTTTCTTCATGTTTTGAGTACTTTAAAGAAAATCCTAGATAGTATATTTCATCCATACATACGAAGACTTTTTATCACAGCAACAAAGTTAATAATTCTTAAATATCGCCTAACAATCTGTGTTCAAATTTTCCTGGTTATCTCAAAAACATCTCTTTATCTCCTATCAATGGTGTCCATCCAGCAAAAAACAAAAAATATTTTTATGGTTTGTTGATTTGAATCACATCCAAATAAGGTCTACACATTGCATATTGTTAGCATCGCTTTTTAAACCTTCTAACTAAAGGCTTAAAATTCACCAGCAACAGCCAAGCTTTTAGAGTACAGCATAGTGCATGATGTTTAGTAATTGGTTCTTCAAAAAAATAATATATGCATATACACACATCCATTGTAAATTCTAATGATATAAAAAATGTGTT